ACATTATTTCCGATTAATTATCGTGTAATAGATTATCGCGTTGTGACGTGATAATTCATTAAATTATCGTCACTTAAATTATCGTAGGTAGCGGCATATTAATCGCGGGAGAACGACGCCAACGGCGCCTTTTTTATCTCCCTCGCGTCGCAGTCTTTTTTTTCCCCGGAGCAATACCGCCGCGGGAATCGCGTACGCGCCGAGGATTACACGACGTTCTTCGGCGGAGCACGCGGCGACAGAGGAGAAAATGACGAGGGGATCGAGAGGGAGCGTAAAAGGAGGGCGTTGGGAGGAGGGGGACAGAGGCGCGAGGCAAGACGCGGGGGCTCCTCGCGAAGAAACGATTACCGATGACTTACGTACACGTATGCAGGCAATCTCGCGTTGCGCGTTTGCGCAATTATTGGAACACCTCCGTATGCCCGTAATAAATGGCGGAATATGCCCTGAAAGGTGTTAGTTCAAGATCATCCGGCGATACAAGAGACGCCGCCACGCTATCGCGGCCGGATTTCGTCACCGCGCCGGCGACGACGTCGACTCGTCCGCGGCTGCTCCCCGCAGGCGCGGGGTTTGTGTAATCTCGCGCGGGACATTAAGGTTACTCCCGATCGAGGAAAGTCGCGCCTATCCCCTCGATCGCCGTCTATTCTCTATTCCGCTCCCATCGTGCCGTCGTGCGTAAAAGCGACTCGATCGGCACCTCGAGCCTCCGCACGTTCGTAGCCGGACTCGCGAAAGGTCGGCGGTGCCCGCGATCGAGCTCGCGTCCGCGCACGACGTCCACTCGGGATTACGCTTTGCGCAATTATGCGTGCCGTAATGCGGCTCGAAATTAAATTACGCGCGACGCGTTGCGAAATACATCGACGCGGCGGCTCATCGATCCTTCGGTCCGTCGAGCGTCGCGAGCCTTGATCTTAAGCGGTGGGCGTAATGTTACTCTCTGTTTTCGCTCACTTTCCTCTCATTCCACAGCCTGGAAGAAGACACATCTACAGAACTTTCTACTTCGATATCAGATTCCGTAATAGATCGCTGGAAAGTGTCGGATTAAGATGTTAGAATTCGCGATAGAAGTCGCTAATTGTGAAAGTTCCACGGGGCGGTTTTATTCAAGTATTCGGTACAATGCTTTTCAAACTGTATTGTACACTACATGTGCAACTGCGTATTCGTGTCACTACTTAAATCCCTTTCTAATTACCGACATGAATGTCGTTAATGTTGTTACGCCCGCGTTCGAATGCGGCGGGTTGCCACGATGCCGATTTCGTTTATCTTGTCAACGAAGAATCATGTATTGATTTGAATTCCAAGTTTGGCTTTCGAGCTCAGCGGACGTTCTTCTGTAAAATAAAGTTTATCGTTCCCTCTGGAATCCCTTGTGATTTATTCGAACGCGTGTAAGTGCGCGCGCGAATGACGAAGTTTGCGACAGCGGCGCGGGAGGCGCAACAATATCGCAAAGTTGAGGCCTCTTTTCCGCGAAGCCGATTGGTTTTCTCGAAGCGCGGCGGTCACTTCTCTTTTAAACTCGTGTCGTGCTCCATTTCTTTTGTTCGTGTTTCTCATCGGTTAACCTTTTTAGCTATTTGCCACGCGTAAAAATTATCACAAGAAAATAAGGAAAAAAAAATAATAAATCGCACGCAGGTATTGTTTTAGTAAATTGAAAGGGGCAAATAAAAAAACTAGCGACGGACATTCTTTCCGCCTGTCCTCTCTTCCCAGTATATTTCTCTGTTTCTCGCATAGTTTCGTACACACGAAACTCCGCGCGCTGACTACTGCCGTCTGGGATTTCAATGCGCCGTGACGTGGGAGTAATTGCGACACGCATACGCACACGTACGCGCGATGCCGTCGCCGACCTTGCGCTCGTCTTCCTTGTAAGGCGCAATCGAGCGATTGTGCCTACGATCAATTACGAGAGATATCCACTTTTGTCGCTCTCCTTGCTTAACGATGTGTCCCAATTAAGGTACGGCAATTAACGCTGGCCGCTCGTCCCGAGACCCGAGATTTCTTTCGTGACTTTCTTTTTATCGTCCCCGTCCTCGTGTTCCTCAAGTCGCCGCCTCCCCTCCGCCCTCCCGGTTCTCTGCAAAAAGAAAATTATATAAAATTTCATCATATCTCGACAATAATAATAAATAGACAACGGTACAATACGCTTGCGCGTATCGGAGAAAAGTGCTGTTTCCTGAAGCTTTTATTCTCGTCGAGTCTATGCAAATTGAAACGCCCGACAAAGTAGACAGGATGAAACAATCTTACAGCTCCGTGCTCACGTCCCACATTTAACACGGTCATATAATTCGCGGCCCACGCTTAACGTCAACTAGGATCTTCATATCGGACAAACGGAACTTTGTTATAATCGGACGGCCGCGTTTACGGGCTAAATGCGGACCGTAAATAAGGACCGTAGACTCTCTTCGAGTCGCCACGCGTACGCTCGAGGAAATCCTATCCCACGCTGGGATCTCCCCTCGGCCCGGCGGGGAAGAGGGAGTCGCGAGCGCGCGCGCGCTCGCGCGGCCGATCTGCGATCGCGTCCACGTACGTCGCGCGGAGGAGGATCGCTCGCGCGGAGTAGTGTATCCCGAAGCCGAAGATGATCGCCTCGCGAGTGAGAGGACGGCCCGTCCTTGTCTACTACCTCGGCACAACGCATACATCACGCCGGGCCGGGGCTCTCTCAAGATCAGGCGTTCTCGCGTGTGACCACACATATGTAATTCCAATTAACATTGCAGCGCGTGCGTGCGTAGAGGCTTGCGTTACACAGCGCGCGCGCGCGGATTATTCCGCGCTGAGGTTAACGCGTATGTAACGTCTGATTGACTGACTGACTGACTGATTTTTTTGCCCGTTCTTCCAATCTTTCCACGTACCCTTCGCCCGCTGTCTCGCTCGCTCGCGCCGCGAACTTATGCCGGATTTCACACGATGTCGACATCCAGATGGAAGAATCTGTTACGATTTCGCGAAAACCAAGTCGTGGCAGCGATTTGCGCGGTCTTTTTTTTTTTGCGTAATGAGAGTCGAAGCGAAAATCGTTCCGCTGATTGGATGGGAGATTCCATCCTCGAATAGAGCGAAAACGTTTCCAGATAATTGCCGTAAATCGAGATAGCTTTCTGCTCGTTGAATCACGAGCGTGAGGGAACCGAATTAAGTGAAACGCGGAGTGGGAATGATCTCTCGGCGTATTCGCGACGTATATACTCTTGCGAGGCTCTCGCTCGAGTTCGCCGACGAATTCGCACGATCGGCAAACACCGTCTTCTCTCGAACCGCGCGAACTGTCTCTCCTTTTTCTCTCTTTTTTTTTTGGTTTCCGTACAAAGGACGCTCGCGCTCGCGGACCACACACGACGAGGCAAGTGCATCGTAAGTAGCCTCTATTTCGAGAGAAAATATTATCGTAACGCGCGCGCGCGTCCGCACCCGCGAACGCATTATACCCCGCTCGCCTCTACCACGCGCCCGCCTCGAGTATCGCCGGCTCGAAATAATATTTGGCCGCGCGGGATCGCGCGAGTAGCCGTAAAGATCGCGATACCGCGCGATCCTCGTGTCCAGGTGCATTAACGTCCCGCTGCACCACTTACGACCGTGTTGCTCCGAGCAAAGTCCCCTTTTCCTCTTCCTGGCAAGTACCGGGTCCCATTCGTTCGTCGTTTATCTCGTGGAATCGGTCGCCTCCTCTCGGGAGACTATCCCGTGCGATTGTCGTCCGCAGGAACGCGACAATTATCGGGATAAAGGGAGCGTCAGCCCCGGCCATTGTGATCGATCCCGCGCGAGAAAATCGACCGGTCCGAAGTGCGGACTCGCCGGATCCTCCCACTTTCTTTCACGCGCTTTGGTCGCGCGTGGTCGATCGCCTACAAATGCGAAATTTATCTTCGATCTGGATCGAGGGGACCGCAGCCATGGCGACGGGCGGCTCCTGACTCCCCATTATGCGGCCCGGCACGGTCAGTGGGTCCGTCATTGTCCGCGCCGCTCGAGAATGGATGTTTTGGGTTTTCGTGAATGCGCCGAGTGACACCTTCGAGTGCTGCTCCCCGGACCCTCTCTACATATTTCTTCTTGATTCCCCCCTCGCCCCTCATCCCCTTCGTCGAGACCCTTGTGCCGCTTCCCCCTACCTCCCCTCCTTCCCTTCCTCCCACCCTCGCTCTCTCTCGCTCCTCGGACCCTTTTTATTTTTCTTAACTCGCGACGAGTAGCCGAGAATGCGAAACGATCGTTCACCGTTCGAGGCTGGAACGAGCTGGTCATCTTGACTGAGTCAATATATTACTACCTTTCTCCCTCGCTCCTAGTATAGCTTCTTCGAAGGTTAGCGACGCGCTCTGATTTATCTGAATCTAGGGTGCAGGTTCTAGGTTTTTAAGATTTACGATTAGCTCACGTCACAGGTGCGAGAATTCGATTTAGATGAGAACCGATATTCCCCGAAAGCGTATAAACGTATCCATAATATATTTAAAGCCAAGTGAGTGTAAGTTATTAGCGCTTTAAAACAGAATGGCCGACGTTATTTTGCAACCTGAAGATACAAGAATAAATATGGAGAAGAGTCCCCTGTTATGAGGTAGGCTTTCAATATAAGACAGCAGGTTTTCAACGTTTAAATTCAATCACAAATCTTTTTTTCGCAACGATTGCACGAATCTAACAATGAATTTTCCATTAAGTGGATTTCATTCCAAGGGCAATAAAATCATGGTGGAACCAACAGTGGTCGAATTGGCGAGACGTCCAGGTTCAAACCCTGGCTGAGGTAATATTTTTTCGCAATAAATTGTCTCTAGTTAAAATTGCCAGCTGTGTCGGTTATCAATTTTCCTACACTGATATTATTTAAGTACGTTCCGATGTTAATTAAGACTGCCACATATTCGAAATTTGAAAATTATTTTTTTACACATAATGTCTTTATCAAATCTTTGAGAGGAATCCCTCGTGTCTAATTGCAGAATTGTTCAACGAGTTCCGACATCGTTACCAAGAAAATGGAGACCACAGCCGAGAATACATTGAATGCAGAAGGAAAAGGAAATCGCGCGGAAACACGTATTTAATGTCTTTAAGGCCGCGTCAGTCACGCTCCGGTTACGTCATTGCACTCGCGATTACAGTACGGAGATAATTGCGGCTACGTAACTAGCATCGAGCGAAAACAGATGTTTTCCATAGTCGTCAATTTCTATACGGCACATCCATCGGGCATAAGTAATTCATGTATTCCGCGAAAACAGAACAATTTTTATGCGTCCTACCATGCAATGTCTTAAGCGCAAAACAGGATTCGAAGCTGATCATTAGTCTCTCGCAATCTCTCTTTCGATATTCCATTATTTTTCCTACGCGTTTGATGCACGCGTGTTAATACAATACTCTTCTTACGTGTTGTTTTCCTTTCAAAATGCATATTATAGGTATTTTAAGTACTTGCATAAACTTCGTTTACATTACATAAAAATTATAATTTTCAATAAATCAACCCCCATGAAAAAATATACGTGTAAAAATATATTTTTAAATCATTTAATAAGAATTATATAAACATAGTTAAAAAGTTATTTAAACTTAAAAATGAAATAGACATTAAATTTAGTATTGTTAACATATCCATATCCTCGATACGGCCGAGTTTGCGAAAACAACAAAAGCAAAGTAATTTGAATCGTCACGCATGACATTTTCTCGCAATAAAATAACTGTTAACCGACAAATGCGTTGAATCCTATTATAGATAAATTTTTACCTGGCATCTTAAGAAAAGTGGACCGAACATCTGTCGCATATTTTTTCTCGGACGCGGTCGGTCATTAGCACAAAGTAGCGACACGTCGTTTCGTACCCCATGGAATCCCGGGGATCTCGTTATGCGTAACCGAATACACGGAAGTGGCACAATGGCGGGCGCCTCAATCGGAAAGAAAAGAAAAGGTACGGTTTGCCCCTTAATCTGACGGCGCACATAAATTCGCGGGAACGAGTCAGTTTTCGTCGCCACAAATCCCTGGCCGCATCTAAAAGGGTTTAGCCAGATGTTCGATAGGGGTGACACAATTTCTATCGGTAAACCGCCAAGATAGAGAGAGAGAGAGAGAGAGAGAGAGAGAGAGAGAGAGAGAGAGAGAGAGAGAGAGAAAGAGAGAGAAATCGTTAATGATCCAACGAGCATCCAATATGTTGGTAAAATAAACTGCTTGCAATAAACAATTCTATTACAAATTTAAAAAATACGCCATACTTGTTAAGCGCGTGTCTTTCTTATTGGTTTCTTCTTGTAGGATTCATTTTGCTGCTTCTGGTAAAAAAATTAAGATATTACGAGATAATGAAAACTGTTGAAAGCGTGGTGGTCCACGGTTGATCGACATTTGTCTGTCGAAAGTTTGACAAGCAATTGCCCCAACAATTTTTGCCATTGTAACAAACAACAGCAGATCATACAGAATTACGTGCGTCGCGATCGTAAAGCAGCGCGCTCGGGCCGAATGTTCCTTCGGTTTCGGTGCGTGCGTGTGATGACCCTCGGTGCACCGGCGACGCGGAGATAACACGCGCGCGACGCGACCGAGTGCCCTTGAATTAAAATGGTAATAGAAATGTACGATTTGAATTGCGAATGTCATAGCGTGCGCGCAGCAGCCGAGTCCGGGATATGTATATGCTAAGCAGCGCCTTGTTTTGAATTTAGAACAGACGCCATCTTGCCGGCGAGCGGTTTGCTCTTTGCCCCCTTCCAGCAGGCAATTCATGCCGAAGATCGTCGCGACCAATGGGGATGCATTCAGGAAACCACGTACGGTACGATAGTATAACTTGCAGGGTATATACGTGCCTGTTTTAAAAGGCAACAGCGTCTGTACCACCGTTCGTGATAGGCGACAGCAAACTCATTAACCCCGGTCTACGGCCGCCTTTCTTTCCGCATTTGTTCACAGAGTTCTACCTGGTTTTCCATACAGTCCCTTTTACAAGAATCCTTCTTAAAGAAACCGTAATGACTACCGTCTCACGCAATTATGAGAAAAAGTCTCATACAATCATGAAAAAGATAAACAGAATTATTTACAAGTTAAACAATAAAAAAGAGAGGGCTCAGAGCCTAGACAAGATGGTAGCGGCAGAGAATTTTATTAGATAAAAAAAATGTATACGTTTCGATCACAAACTGGATCATCTTCAGTATGAGATAAAATTAAAATATTTTTTAGTTTTTTTTTATTAAGAAGTACACACGTCTGTATAAATGGAGCCATGATTAAGCTTTTATGGTCAATGATGACGAAAGAATAAAAAGTGGCAAAATCTGAACCTGAATACTTTATCTATTCAAAGAGTTCTGGACGTTCGCAAAGAATCACTGGAAAGAACCAAAAGAATGCACAGTGGGTGGAACTAGAGCGAATGTGGGCGGAACCTAGAGCTCGTTAGGAATTTCTCTTGTGGGCACAGAAGGTGCACAAAAAAACTAGCAAAATTTTACATACAAAAATCCAGTAAAAAGGAACAAAAATACTGATTCCATCTATTCCTTGCCCCATTCATTCTCATGCTCCGTAAGGTACATAAGGTCGTTTTTTCCCCTTTTCCCTTTTCCTCTGCTATTGTTCAGACCTTTCTGCAAATCGTATTATCTTGCTGACCTAAGTCAACAAACCTTTCTAACACGGTAGAATTATGGTACTATACGAGGGGTATTTCGTACGCAGCCAACTTTTATCGAGCGAACGCGTTTTAACGTCAATCAGATCAGTTATTTGTAAAGAGTTTAAGTAAGAAAAGCGAGCAATTACGTACAATTTTAACTTATTATTATATGAGATTGTAGAATCATACACTGACAAACAAAATTTTTAATCCAAAACAATATTATTTTATCCAAGAAAATTATTCGTTAAGTGGCATCTAATAGTTTATTAACTTAAATTTAAGAAATAATAAACAAATTAAAACATACATTTCTTTAATTTACATATTTATTAAATATCAAAGAATAGATAATTTCAAATTTAAAAAATTTTATTTTAATTCTATAAAATATGTACTAAGATGTAATTTTCAGAGCGAAGAAAATTGGATTTTTTGTTTAACAAAAACAATTATTGCATTTAATAAATAGTATTCTACACCTCATGAAATCTTTATTTGAATGTAGAAAATGTATTGATTTAAATTAATTTGCTTAATACAATACATAGATTTTCTTGAAGTTTGATATTCGTATTTAAATAGAATAAATATTTACTTCAGTAAAAAAATAATTTTAAGCAAATCTATTTATTTAGTTAAAAAAATTGTCTTTGTCAGTGTAGATAACTACAGATGATCAGTCGGAGTAAAATTTACTAAACTTGGGATTAGTAAATTTCACTCTAATCGGTCAAATTTCAATCCAATCTCAATCTCAACCCGTAATCTGATATCGGGCTTTATGCGCATTACGATCGGCGATCGAGAGGTGTGTCTCGTAAGGTGTGCATACGCAATTGTGCGCGATGTTCGATTTTAATTGTGCCTCGCAGTTCGATGGCGTTGCGTAAGCTTAATGATCGATTTCGTCTGGCTCGCGTCAGTCTCGGCTGAAAGACGACGCCAGTAATGGCAGAAAATTCCATCCGTCTATTCTAGCGGAAACACGCGCGCTGGGTTCCGATAGGAATAATTCTTCTGAGAAAAGGAGATTCCTCTCGAGATGCAGGAACGGAGGGACCGCGCGTCTAATTGTTCCTCAGCACGCAACACAGCACAAGTTTGCGCGAACCTCGCGCAATCGGCGCGCGTGTATGTACACGAGGAGAGCGAGTATGCGCAGAATTCGCGGTCCGGGTTCAAGATTGCGGGGCACGACTCCCAGTGACCTTTCCGCGCAAACGGAGAAATATTTAATTGGCGCGTAACGCGGATTAACCGAAGCTTTATGGGGATATCAAGCGCGGCGGCGGCGACGGCGGCGGCGGCGGCGAACGGGGAGATAGCAGTAACAGAACGCAGCGTGTCGACGAGCGAGAACGTTTCAATGCTCTCGTTCCGATACGATGACGTTGCCGCACAATCGGCATATCGCACCGGGTTACCGCCAGCCGATGAACCTTCCGTCCGCGGAACCGTGCAGGGAATGCCACTTACGGGCCGTTTCCTCTTGACCCGCGCGCAGGAGGCATGCCTCGCTCGTCGTTTCACGAAAAATTTTAATGCGCTCGCGTCGTGAGCATTAGACCTTAAATCTTCGCCAAAGCCGCGGCGCTCTCAAGAGCGGAGGTCTAGCGGAAACGAATAAAGTCCGCTAGTTATGAGATATGTATCTCGATGTAGTGTTAATTTCAAGGGTATCGATGCGCGGGCATTACAAGCGTTGCTCATCCAACGACCGTAGGAAATACCGAAATGATGAAATGTAGAATTGCTGGGGTATCGCAAATCGTGAATATAATACGCCGCTGGTAGGTTCCTTGCGCGCGGTTGATACGCTATGTAAAACTCTATAAGCGGGTATTGCATTACGAGGGAAAAAGAGTTTACAATCTCGCCGTAAATAGAATACGTTGTACTCGGTTTAGAGATAATTAAAACAAAATACACGCAGCACATGCATTACTTCACATTTTTATATGGCGAATATAACATTTTAATTGTCCTTAGGATCAATTAGAATAAAAATCTCTTTGTCACATTTTATTAAAATAGTGCTTTAAAAAGTAATCGTTTTTAATTTTTTTACACAAACATGTATAATCGTCAATATTACAATACATAAATCGTTAATAAAAAAAAAAGGATAGTTCCATGCGCGGCAAAAAGCTCTTATCAAATTCGCGTTAAAATTACTTCGTCAACGAGTAGAATTAGAACAAGTCTCTTAATGAGACAATCAGGTCTCGTACGAGATTGTAGCGTCTTGCAGTCGTATTGTACGGGTCAGAGCTGTGAATCCGTTCGCCAATTACGCGTTTCTCTTTCCTCCGGGCGCGCCGCGTACCGTCCGTTTTCGACGCGAGACATCGACTTCCGCATCGATGGAAACGTAGTCATATCGATGTGCGGCCGCAGGTACAGCCGGTATACCCCGTGTGTGGAGCGTTGTTCGCGATCAATAGATCGCTGTACCGGCGGATCAGCGATCTGGCGGGATCTAGCAGCGGGAGATCGTGTAGCGATCGTTCGTTCCGCGATCGCGCACAATACGAATCGTATGTTCCGGGGTCGTACCGGGGGCGACCGTCTACGTACACACCACGCTGAATCCGTGAGAAGTGCCCGCTCACGGACCGGTACACCGGTCTTGCGCCGCTGTAAAAGATACTTTCCACGTGTAAGGATCGTTCCGTGTCCGGTGCTATCGAAAATCGGACTGTACGAAGCCGGCCGTAACGTAATCCCCCCGTTTCCGACCTGTGTTTCCGTCTTTCACGAATCGAGAAATCGAACGGTCTCGCCATTTCTTCATTTTTAGCAAACGTT